ACTTCAGTTCATTGGTCTGATGGCTGAGAGAGGAGACAGGGCAAATGGGGAAGTCTGCGTTGTCCTTAAGCAAAGAGGGGACATCAGCTTTTAATAGGACAAACCACTCATGCAGGCCCAGGGAGGGATTGCTGGAACGTGCGGATATAAGGTTGCTCAAGTCACCTCAGAGTCCCATTGTGCTCAGTCAGGGCCCCAACCCTGGGGCAGGGTGCAGACCCCAGAGGCTGCGCCACCGTTTTCTGGAGCTCAGTGGAGGTCCGGAACTCAATCCACAGCCTCTCTTTGGCTTTAGATGACGCTCTCCTGAGATGGTGCTGAGATGTGTGACTTTCACATTTTGCCTGTAACTGGTCATTAATCACCCCCTGCTTTCCACTGTCTTTTCCCAGTGCCCTCAGTCATCCAAATCCATTGTCCTGATCATTTCCATTTGCCCTGACTTCTGAGATGCCTGTGTGTTGCACCCTCCAGCACACCTGCTTCTGTCACCAGGTCTCACTGATGAAAGTTTTCACAACGGCACAGTTACAGTGTGCCACGGGCTGTCCCTGATAGTGCCCCCAGTGATGGGACCTTCCTGGCCAAGGGTCAGTGGGTGCCCTGGTTCCCAAACCCCATTTTAGGTTGTTTCCTTGGACCACTGCTGGCATCAGCTGTCCTGGGGTGGGTTCTCTGGGATGAAGGCCATGAGACAGATGCACATGTCGGAGATTCGTGGAGCAATGGTCTCAGGATTAATAGCTCTAGGTTGAGGAGGGAACGCTGGGCTGTGATGCAATTCAAGGAAGGCACCAGGTGAACCTACAGGGAGTTCTGGAGTGAGGACAGACCTTCAAAGAGGTTCTGAGGCGGAGCTCTGTGCCTCCTCCCTCACCCGCCACGGCGGCATCCACCTCCGGGAGAGGGAGCATGAGTCTGGGTAAGGCAGCTGTCTTGGCTGGAAAGCAGTCTCTAGGGAAGGACTCAGGAGGGAGTTATCCCTTGTTGGCGCTCCCAGACACACGCTTCAATCGCGGGGTGGGAGTTGGGGGTGGGGATCCAGGCAGTGCAGGGGGTCAGACACCCTGTGCTACTACATGCTAGAATCCATACGTGCTTTAAAATAAAAAGACGTTTTCTTCTTTGTAGAGAAAGTGGAACACGAGAAAGAACTGAGAGTCAGAGACATCTTTCCTTAGGCTTTCTGCCTTGCAGATCTCACATGTGCCTTTGCAAGGAGTCAGGTTCTCATAGCTGCTGCACCAGCTGTCACGGAGAGCTGTCCGGATTGTTGGGAGTACCTGCCAGTGCCTTTCAGGTTGTAGGCTTGAAGTAGCTTATTCGCTCTGAGATCCCAGGAAGATTGGAGCTTGCATAAATTCCTCCCTTCTGTCATCCCCTCCGTCATCCTAATTAATCTCTTTTCTTTGATACCCAGCCCCAAGCCTTCCTCGCTGAGAAGGCTAACTTGAGAAGTGATCACTCCCTGTTTCCTCACCACTCGTCACTGACTGAGCACTTACTCCTTATTATGGTTCTTCCTTAGACTGTGAGTGCACCAACAAGGGGAAAAGAGAACACAAAACATAGTCAGTAAATGCTCACAGATTGAATAACAATGTCTCATGACCATATCTTCAAATTATTCAGATATTTTCACAAGTGCCACTGTGTAGGTCAAGTTGTTAAGAATACATTTTGCATTTGGGCAAATGGAAGCAAGAAGTCTTTCTGACACTAGTTGAAACAAGATGTTGGCAACAGAATCTACAGACTCACTTTGCTTTGCTTTGGTGACTCCATGAAATCCAGTGCATAATACTTTGGTCAGAGTCTTGTACAATCTTGATAGATGTGTATTTGGAAGATACTAAATATGCAAAGTCATCCCTGATGCTTAGTGAGTCTTAATGTGATGATCCACTTTATTTTATTTTATTTATTTATTTATTTATTTATTTATTTTTGACAGGCAGAGTGGACAGTGAGAGAGAGAGAGACAGTGAGAAAGGTCTTCCTTTGCTGTTGGTTCACCCTCCAATGGCCACCACAGCCGGCGCACCGCGCTGATCCGATGGCAGGAGCCAGGAGCCAGGTACCTATCCTGGTCTCCCATGGGGTGCAGGGCCCAAGCACTTGGGCCATCCTCCACTGCACTCCCTGGCCACAGCAGAGAGCTGGCCTGGAAGAGGGGCAACCGGGACAGAATCTGGCGCCCCGACCGGGACTAGAACCTGGTGTGCCGGCACCGCAAGGCGGAGCATTAGCCTAGTGAGCCGCGGTGCCGGCTCGATGATCCACTTTCAAAAATGTTTGTTTATTTCCATGTACTTGAAAGATGGGGTGGGGAGGGGAGAAAGAGAGATCCTCCAACCATTGGTTCACTCTCCAAATGCCTGCAACAGCCATGGCTGTGCCAGTGCCAGGCCCAACTCCATCTAGGTCTCCCATGTGGGTGGAAGGGGCCAAAGCATTTGAGCCACTATGTGCTACCTCCCAGGTGCATTAGCAGGAGACTGATCAGAAGTGGAGTAGCCAGGACTTGCGCCCACATTCTAGTATGGGAATGCAGCTTGACGTGGTAATGGGGGCTTCCCAAGCAGCAGCTCAACTTGTTGCACCACGACTCCCACGCTTTTCTTTTTGAGAAAAGAAAACCAGCCATGACTCCAGTCGTAACCAGCCATGACTCCAGGCGTAATCAGCCAGTTCCCACATTAGCATACATTTTGCCATTTCCTCAGGTCTATAAATTTTGGTGAGAACCAAAGTGGCAACACACAGCCACATGGCAAAGAGGCTGAGGCCCTCCTTTGGATACGATGCCCAGAGCCATGACTGAAGTCCAGATAGAGATGAAAACCTGACACGAAACAAAAATCCATGTTTCCCAAAGATGGGCACCTTGTTTATCCATGCTCAGGAAGGACTCCTAACCCTCTCCCAGGAATCTTGCGTCTATTGACCACTGACCACGTCCTGCTCTTGTAAGCACCTTGGGGATGCACCTCAGGGATTTAACAAAATCCCCAAAAGAAAAACCTACTACAACCCAGGCACGTGCTGGTGCTAGATTCTTGGCTTTCTCTGAGAAAGCTCAGAATTCTGAAGGGTCTTGGCTGGCTGTCTTCTCCTTTTGAAACAACAGAAAACGATCTAACTCTACCTCCTCAGAAGAGAGTGGAATTTATGAATGAGAGAGTATGTATGTTGAGGCTCTATTTTCACCAAAGTCTTAATAATCGTAGTTAGCATACTTGCACAGTAGGCTTGATGAGGCTTGTTAATGAGGGTTACTTTAGATATTTGGGATCCTTTTGACCTCCTGAGCTGGTCTGAAACTTAGGGGCTCCATTCAACTTCTTCCTCTTATCTGCAGCAAATAAAAAAATCTATAGCCATTTGATGGAGGTCTGTGTCCACAGAATGAATGAATCCAATCTTGCTGTGCTGGTAAGAATGCATTGCTTACCTTTTTTCCTAGAAGTGTAGAAGCCCCTCCCTTAGAAGGGTACTAATTAGGACACCTTTACAAGTAATTTGCTTAAAGTGACTTTGCAAACTGGCAATCATTTAAGTACTAAAGGGATATGAACTCTTCTCTCATGCAAATGATTGAAGCAAATGAGAAAGAGGTCTAGGATTTATGATGCCAGTTTGGCAGGATCAACAGGAATCGCGAAGCCAGATTCTGAGACATTAACACAGAATGACGTAAGCACTCACAAAATAATTCATGTGCATAAAAAATGTAAAGAAGCAAGAAGTCTGCTCACCTTTTAGGCACTCAACATTCAGAGAGCTTCCTCTGCAAAATTTAGAGTTTAATTAAAGAGGGACGATCACCTGGAAACCCACAGTTGTGAACTCAGGTATTTAAACAATTACAAGCATAAACCTCTTGGTAGTCGTCATTGTGGTCGTGGTTTTTTTTTTTTTTTTAAGTTTGTAAACAGCCAGAAGAACTGAACATCTGATTTTTGAAATTCTTCTGGCTTTTCTTTTTGACCTTTGGTATTTGTATGTATTGACGATCTCTAAACCATTGCACAAAAACACCTTGAAGTGTCAAGCTTTAAAAATGAGTCTTCTTTTCTCTTTCTCCTGTGCAGCTTGGATTATCTTGGCCTTGTCAAAATACATTCTCTAGTTAGAGGGTGGAAATATTTCCCTCCTGGCTCCAAAGTATTGATTTTCTTCAACACTCAGCTCTGTCAGTCAGCTGAAGGGGTGAAAGGTGAAAGTTCACCCGGCACTGCCTGGCTTTACCTTCCCATTAATGTCATGCCCTTTCCACATTTGATCAGCTTACGTGATCACCAATCACACAGCTCTGCTACTGCCCCTGTTTTCCCTATAAGGCCACACTTGAGTCATCAGGAAATGTGAAAACAGTTCCCAGGGCTGGCGCTGGGCATTGGAAAGGGTCAATGGAGCTGCCGTCCACTCTTGGATGTTTACATGTTTGTCTAATTCTTACAGAAAATTATGTTGTTCTATTCAAGCCGGTCTACGCTCTTCTCTGAAAGAAGGAAAAGCAGTAACACGTGTGTACCATGAGGCCGTCTTTTGTTATTCTTGCTTTTCCTGAAAACCAATTACACCCTTCACCTTAGGGACCCCAATTCAAATCCAAACTGAGTATTAAATGAAATGAATTTAATGATCTCAGCCTAGCTCCCATGAGAGGCAGCCAACTCATGTCATCAGATCTGACAAGATACCATTTGGTACAATTAACAGTCTACTTAGGAGCAACTTAGGCAGTTCTGCTGCCCAAACCACAGGGGGTGCCGGTGAGTTTCTGGCAGGAGTGTCTCTCCATCTGAGCGTCTCACACTTCCACGCTGTGGGCAGGGACTTCCTTCCCACTGCTCTGCTGTCCTTGGTGAACACCTCTGCCTTTCCTGGAGCTGGTTCTCAGGGCAATGAGTGATTGGAAATAGAAAATGGGTGTAGACTGAGAATGCGCAACAAGAGTGAACACAGGAAAAAGTAATAATGGGAGAAAAACTATCTGCAGTACAATTCTTTTTTATTTTTTACCACACGTATGTACACAGGGACATTCAGTACACATAGAATCTATTAAGTGGAATCATCTAGAAATGTCTCGAAAGGCAGACATTTTAATTTACTTGCTGTACACAGTGAGTTCAATCATAGCAACATTTTCATACAGGTGTCACGTCATGTCATCTTTTGCTTGTAAATTACCACTGAAGCCACGTATGTCTACATTTACAAGGACAGGTCCAAATACAGTGCCAATGAAATCAATAGAACACTAAAAGTGTGCACGAGGATGACAATACGAAGTTTATGTCAGTGCTGAGAAATCTAAGCTGGCAGGAAGTTTGGGACTGCGCTTGTCAAAAAAGCCATGGAAAGACTGATGTCAAAAAGGACGCAGACGCTCGACTCCGAGTGAGAGGAGCCTGTCTGGCCATCAAACATCAGCCGCTGCAGAGACGGCCCGCTCACCCGGCCATCATTTTGGCCGTCAGTGCAGACAGAACCCATGCCCCGCATCTAGGGTTTTGCTCCTTGGGTCCTCACAGCTTTGTTCTTAGTTGCCAAGGGGGCGCCACCTGTGTGTCTGTGGTGGCCTGCCCATCCCACACCTTTCTCCTCCCCTATAGATCATTTTGTTAAAAAAACCAATGCAACTCTAATACGTTTACCTTGTATTCCAAGTAGTTTTGTCATTTAGAATAAATTAGTTTTCATTTACGTCCACAAAGTAAACACGTGTTGAGTATAGAGAAGACTCAGGAGCTGGCTGGAGAAACCAAGTGCCCTTTTGGTCCACCTCCAGTGGCTCTAGCTACCCCAAACATGGCAGCATGTTTCCCGAACACAGGAAGTCCATGCTGGAGAGCTGTCTGCTTCTTCCTTGGAAACTACATAGATAATCTGTATCAATACGCTGTACATGCATGTGGCATACATTCACTTTTTTTGTCTAAAACCAAGGACTTAGGACAGATCTGCCATCAACAGAAATAACATATTTCATATTCATATGAAAAAGACATTCTACTTATATTAATTTCTTAATATGTTCCTTAAAAATTGGTTTCAGTAAAATAACATATGTATTTGCTCCTGGACCCTGATCCTACTTTTCCGTATATTGCATGAACTCTGACAAGCTATGCTTTTCTGATTAAATGCTCCCATTATCATCTTGCTTCCTCTGTAAACTTTGCAAACTTCCTCTGAATTTAGTAAGCCATTTCTCCCAACTAACCAACCAATCAACAACCAGCCAACCTACAAAACCCCCAACTATGTACAGATGAAGGTTTGTGAGGAGGGTTTCATACAAAACATTACTTTATGGATTTTCTCCCATGACTATAAGCAAGAACCAGCATAATCTGACATAAGAAGAGAGTGATCTAGCTGAAGCTTACTTTGAAGTGTGACGAACTCTCATTGCAATGTTTCTGCAAACAAATCGAGAGCCCGCACATTTTTATATACACTCCTGTATATAAATAAACTGCATATACAAGACACTGCGCCAAAGGATTAAACCTCTAGGATACTTGTTTAAAAAGAAATGCCTTCTTGGTTTTTACTTAATTGACCAGTAGTAGTTTGAAGGCTGAACTGTAATTATTACATGATAACTGACGTATGTCATTCATGTGGGAAGTGCAGCTTTGTCGGGTTTCTGTAGGGAAGGGGAGTGCTCCTTTTAATCAAAAAGATCTGCAGCAAAGAATCAGAAGCGTCTTCATTTTAGGGCTGTGCTGCGCCTCCAAACTGGCTCCTTTATCACAAGGGTACCTTCGCGAGATCAGTGATAGTGCCTGGATAATTAAGTATTTTAGAAGTGATGCTGAGTCTTACTTTAAGCTACTAAGTATACTGACATCTAAGCAAGACGTGAACACTTCAGAAGGCTGAGAGTGTAGAAAACTGTATTTTCTACAAGGAAAAACAATTTTTGCGTGCATTTTCTCATGAACTGAAATCAGTTAGGTATTAACAGAGAAGGTGGTGGCTAAACCCTAGCCAACTGGATTGAGGGATTTCCTAGCAATCACCAGAAGCAAAGAGCCACGTAAACAGAGGATCTTTCTGGTAAACAATGGTATGCTTTAGGAAAGTCAAAGGGGAATAATTTCAATAACGAGGCTGCCGTACCACCGCGACGCGCAGTGTCAGAACGCCGGATGCAGGCAGCGCTTCAGAGCTGGGGTTTCGTGGCTGAAACACTGATTGGGGCTGGGAGTGCAATCACAGTGCTTATTGATTTTTGGGCTTCTGTTGCACCAAGCAACAAGAGCGTTCCCAGGAACCGCCGGTTTTCCCCTCCCCTCGCTGGCAGGGAAAAACTACCTAGTGACAGAGTGGCCACATCCTGGAGAGCAGTGTGCATGCCTCTGAATCGATAGGTGGCACGTGTGAGAGTCTGCCCCCTCCCCCCCGAGAAGCATGCACAAATGACAGAGACCTGGCCACGCCCCTGCACGACCTAAGTAGGCCCAAAGAATGATCCCCTGCAAGGACAGAGCAATGTCGGCCTAGAGAACGCAGGGAACTGAAATCACTTAGGGCAGCAGACAGCAGCTCTAGACCATGAAGCGGTGCTCCTTCCCGTCGTGGGCCATGAGGATGACGTTGCGGTTGGAAGTCCAGATGAGCCGGGCCAGCTTGAGGGCGTTGTGGGAGCCGGGGGAGGCCGGCTGCACGGGGGGCACCTGGTAAGTTTTAATGCAGCGTAGCTGAGGTGCCGAGTTCAGCATGCCGATGCTTCCCAGGAGTGACGTGTTCATCTGGAGGGACAGGGGACAGGACAGCACACGTGTCACTTAAAGAACCCTTCCATTTCCCTCCTATGCAGATGGGTTCCATCCCTTTGGGCTGCACATGTGCTTGCTTCCTCCTCTGCAATGGTTGTTCACGTTTATTGGGGGTTACACTGATCTCTGAAGGGCCCTTTCAGTATTTGTAATCATTCTGATGCTGTTACAGTAAATGAATATACCTAGAGAAATTTTATTTCATGGGTAGAACCTGACAGCAGGAAGAATCCACTGATCTTTAGGAGAGGAAATGAAGTACAGCTGTTAATAAGTGACTGGATTAGATGATATTTGGAAATCAGAGATATTTAAACGAAAGGCTTGTTTTGTTGTTGTTCATTAACAGCAGTGCTAACTGCATCCCCGGGAGGATGAGGCAATGAAGGCAAGGTCTGGAGTTTATGATCAGTTTGAGAACATGAAGCAGAGTTAGGTGGTAGGTAGAGAGGAGATGCGGTGCAAAGTCACTACTGCGTCAAACTCAGACCCCACCCACCCATTCTCATTCCCCAGCACGCTCACTCTTCCCTTGCTTTTTAAAAACCCAATCTCCAGCAAGCTCTGCAAGGAAAACAAGCACCCACTTCCTCCCACAGGGAGCCTGGGGCTCACTGCTTAGCCACCACGCGAAGGACAGCATCCTCTTCAGACCTGACTGACAACGACGACTTATCAGTTGGTGATTCCTGGTTTGGCGCAGTTTCTCTGGATTTGATTTAAATTTTAAATTTTCTTAATCCATTCCCATGAACAAACAATAACAGGGAAATTATGAGTCCTGAACAACCGTGCATCCGGTCAAAGTGGTTAATATTGAATGGCAATTATCTAAACAAACTGCTTTCTGAGTGACTGGGCCTGGAGGTTCCTTTGGGTTCTAAACGTTACTTACAGTGTCCTCAGTATGCATCATTTCAGCAATTACAGATCACGGGAAAGCACACGGACAACGAGAAAAGAAGCTTCTGAAATCCCACTTTTCCTTGGCGCACATTGTCACTTTCAGCCATCTACCTGGATATGGCTCTGGGGTCTTGCAGGAAGCATACTGATTGTGATGCAACACATTCACACGGTGGATACATGAACCTCCAGCAAATCCTAGGCCATTTCAGATGCGTGAGTGCTGATCTCATGCCCTGCATTTGGATCAGTGCAGAACACAAGCCATTCCTTTTCCCAGCCCTTCTCGGCAGCAGGACGGCGTGAGAGGGCGTAAATCATGGCATCTCCAGCAGACTGCGTGCAGGCTCCACTGACATTTTCACAATTTAAATCATCTTGAGTAATAACCCTTTTAAGATGACTAATGTTACTGATTTTCCTGCATTAATAATAGTGCCGAACACAACACAGAGGTGAAAAAAACCACTCGTGTGCGAGGTCACATTTTAAAACCAAATGTATGGTTATCATTAACTCTTTCTGTTGAAGCTTGCTTCGCAGTGCAAGCCAGGCGGGCCCTTGCTGCCATCCTCCCAGACCCTCAGGCCTTGTTTCCTTCCTTCCTTTTCCCCAAGACTTCACAGAAGATAAAAAGCAATGCCTCACTGTGTTCTGGAGGTTCCCAAGCAGTTTCAACATAAATAACATTGCTGAGCTTGATTTGAGAGTTCCCACTTCCACAACAGTCACAGTACATAATAATTTAGTCCTCTCACAGAGCACATCCAAATGACCCAGAAAATTGCCAGTTAAGATTAACTGGTATCAACAGGCACACTATGAGTGCTTTTAAAAGACTAATTTCTCAGCGGATAAAGAACGGTATTTTTCATTCTTTACGGACTTTCTATGAAAATATGCATGCTGCTTGATTTCTACTGGTGGCCCAAAACCCATTGGGCACTGAGTAGGCTTAGCTGTTTCCTGATTTTTACTTCTGTCCTGCAAACATAGTCAAATCAAGAAATGGACTGAGGATTAAAGAAAGAGTAAGACAGAGTATCTTCTGTGCATGAGACAGACAGGAATGATTTTAAGAAAGGGCCGTTTGTCATAACTGGGTTCCCCTTATAACCCGAGCCATTCCTACTCTTATAAATGCCTTCAGTAGGGTCAGAAAGCCTTCTGTTTGACAAGAGGGCTATGTGAAATGCAGAAGGCACAGACCTGTTGGAGTTGCACACAGTTGGAACAATGAAGACCCCCCCATGCCCACTACAATTCCTTTCTCTGCAGACCATCTTTTTCCCATGGCCTCTTCAAATGAGGGGTGGGAATGAAGTAGTAAGGGTGAGTATCGATTTTGCTGATCAACTCAGCCAAAGAATGCTCACTGTAACAATCTTGTTTTTTTTTTTTTTTTTCAAGATTACTATTTTCTTGACTGACTACAAACTATGCTAAAGCAAGGGCAATTTCAGTCTTGACTTATAAGATTTGACAACATTTTTTTTTCTGATCCCAAAGATAGTAAATACTGACGGTGGAAAATTAAATAATGAAAAGAAATACAAAAACGAAAGCTGAAGACCCCTGAAATCTCACTCGCCAGAGACAATCTCTGGTGATAAACAAACAACATCTAGATCTCCCCTGTGCTTAGATTCACAGGAAGAGAAGCAGATTTAAGGAATTTTACATAAATGGGTCCATTATTAAATGCTAGCTTCACAACCTTGGTTTTCACTGAATAAAATGTTGATGGCAATATTTTCATGCTAATAATTTCAGTTCTATATAATTCTTTAAAGAGACTGAGTTGTATTCTACTGTATACCAGAATAAATAAAAAACTATACTCCATCTAATTTATTATTAGCATTTCTGAGAGAGGGTACTTTCTTGTTTTGTGGATGGTGGTGATAATAAAATTTATGTGTGATCTTTCATTATTATGCTTTCCTTGCTCAAATAACAATGGGTACACTGAAGGGAAAGACTTCAGTGGTAGGAATATGATGTTAAAGGATCAAAGGACTTGACAGATTGCCAAATGACGCTATCCACCAGCTGAGTATGTAAACGAACTGAGATGCAATCCTGGCTTTTCCCTTCTCACAAAACTTGCTCTGTGAAGACTGTTTTTTCAACATATAGAAACACATACAATTCATCAAAAGAGGAAATGTTTTAATGCTATTCTCAATGTAAGTAATGCTGCAATACTTTTACTGAGTCTCACTTGAATAATTATCCAACCAATATTTCTCATTAGCACTCATTTTTCAGCAAAGATTTTAATAGCTGATAGCTTTAGTCAGGCTCTGTATTAATAAGACTTCATTAAGTTTTCAAAATATATTACAGTACACTTACCGGAATAATATAAAAGTGTTCTCATAGATCATTAGAACTAAACAACATGTATCTAAAGAAATCAGCAAAGCCCGTTTAGGGAAAGCAGCAGTAGATCCAATACCACTTTCTAGACTCTCTTTAAATAGACAAACACTTCTGCAAGAGGTTACGTTGTATTTTCTTGATAAAGCTGGAATGACAATGCTGAAATGATCTGTTTCGGTGCCTTCTATGTGGGTGCACTACGAATTCTGACACTGATTTTAGAGTTAGGAGAGACTGGGTGTTGTCTGGCTACTCTGGCACTCTGTGGCAGCCCCTGGAGTGGACAAGTTAAAGACAAAGATACTGTGCTGTCGCCCCACCGTGCAGAGACAAAAAGACACTATTTAATGAATGCCTTCACCTCTGAGGTAAGAAACTAATCACTATTCCATCAGGCAGCCTGGCTGGAATTTTGACAGAAATAGAACAGTATTTAAGGGAGGGATGAAGGTATCCAAACATAACAGCAAAGAGCTAGACAAAGGGGAAAAAGAAGAAAGAAAATTTATCACTTGGAAAATTCCAGGTAGAAAATTCAGAAAAAATAACGGGAAAATTTAGAATCTGAGATATTCTTTTATACAAAAAATTATATTTTCTTTTTTTTTTTTTTTTTGACAGACAGAGTGGACAGTGAGAGAGAGAGAGACAGAGAGAAAGGTCTTCCTTTGCCGTTGGTTCACCCTCCAATGGTCGCCGCGGCCAGCGCGCTGCGGCCAGTGCAACGCATTGATCCGAAGGCAGGAGCCAGGTGCTTCTCCTGGTCTCCCATGGAGTGCAGGGCCCAAGCACTTGGGCCATCCTCCACTGCACTCCCGGGCCACAGCAGAGAGCTGGCCTGGAAGAGGGGCAACCGGGACAGAATCCGGCGCCCCGACCGGGACTAGAACCTGGTGTGCCGGCGCCGCAAGGAGGAGGATTAGCCTAGTGAGCCGCGGCGCCGGCCTAAAAATTATATTTTCTTAGCAGACACAAATTAGGCAAAAAAAAAAAAAAAAGAGAGAGAGAGGTTTTGTTTGTTTGTTTGTTTTTCCATAGTAGAAAGCAGCAACAGAAGGCAAGCCCCTCGGACAGGGCCCCCTGCCTGCCTCACTCTATGTGACAGTTCCTAGCACACAGATACCTGGTCACACTGCATGATGGGTGTTTCAACCAACATTCCCCTGAGAGTGGGAGAGAAGAGGAAATAGAAGAAATTTTGTGTCAAGGTGCAGTTGGCACAATAGCAATCACTGTGTTAGACTTGAGTGGGAACAAGGCCTCAGTAAGTGAACTCTGCAAGGCCCCACTGTTGACAGAGTCCAGCTGATGCGTCCTTAATGGACTCATGGTGGGATTTCCCTAGGAATGACCAGTCGTGGGGTTACCCACTGGGAGAAAGTTTAAGATGAGCTCATTAAGATGCTGGAAATATATTCTGGGAGAAAAGATAATGAGAAAATACACTGGAAAACGAAATTAGATGAAAATAGAAAAGTCTGACAGATTTGGAAGTTGTCATGCTTTAATAGCATGTTGTTAATTAAGCAATTTATTGTATCCATTCTACATTTTATTAGCTATTGATTTTTTAAGCCATCATCAAGTTGTGCTGAAGACTTGCTTAAACTTTTATTTTTAGTTGTCAAAGTAATAAAGTGAATCTCATAAAACACATTTGTATCATAGGAAAATAAAGGTAATAACAAACTTTTGGGGGGGTAGGTAATACATGATTTTTTGTGCTTATCAGGACTAAAAGAGTCAGGAAATTAAAGAGAATACTGAATGGAGAGACTAAGCACTGAAGATGAAACATATTCTGTGGTAAAAACTAGTTTTTACCAGTCAAAATTAATATTACTAGTCAAAAATAATATTCATTTTAATCAGAATGAAACAGACATTCATGTAGACTGCCAGCCAAAGAAAATGCAGGTTTTTATAAATGCTTTGAATGGCTTGAGAATTCAGAGCATTATATGGGAAATTCAGAATGCAAAAGAAAAATGAGATAATATAAAAAGGAATAATGAGAAAATACCCGATTGTCTTCTGTCTGTGCCCTGTTACAGCGACAGACCCAAGGATCTAGTCTGAATGCCTTGTACACATTACAGGCCTGAGCAAGGCTTCTCCTGTCGAGTTCATCTCGGGCCAGACCCTCAGATGCACCCCCTGCCCTTGCTGACTGCTGAATCACTGCCCCCGTGTCCTTAGGGGCTGGCCCTTCCGCAGCATCAGGCCTCTTGGAGCTCAGATGTCACTTCCTTTGGAAAGCCTTCCTCTCACTTCATTCTCAGGCTCCCCTCTGTACTGTAATTGCTTATTTATTGGTGTCTACTGCCGACTGCAAGCTCTGTGAGAGCAGAGGCCCCTCTTTCCAGATTGCTAATTGTATTCTCAGCACCCTGCATGCTAGTGCCTGCAACATAATTAGCAATCAATACACAAAAAAACTGTTACTTGTTGAAAGAAGGGAGGATGGAGGGTTGGGAGGCAGGTTCAACTGGAAGCCTTCCCACCAAAAGCACTTCATGTAACATTCAGTCAAGACCCTGCAGCATCTACTCTTACCTGCCAGAAGGAAATGTGGCTGTCAGTGTTGGAGTAGGTGGCCAGGTATCGTCCATCAGGAGCAAAGGCCACTGCAGTGATTGGTCCCTTGTGTCCATGGATGGTCTAAAATACAATTCAGATATCATTAATGGATTATACTCCACAGAACTATTACAAGTACACATGCAAATATGTTCAATGTTGAGCAAGTTATGGTATGGATAATTAGATGCAAGAGTTCTTTGTTTGAAAATCACAATTAAAAGAACAGAAAAGCAGCAAAAAAAAATCAGGAAAAAGCATGTAACTATGGCAAACTCATGGATTAATTCATGTATGCCCACAGAGGGAAGAATTTTGCAATAATTAGAAAGGGAAGGTACTGATAATCACAACTATCCAGGAACCTTGCTCATCTGAAATGAAAATAATCAGAGTTGTATCATAACAGCCCTGGAAGGAGTTAAAGACAGTAACTTCAGCTCCTTAATAATTACAGATTCTTCATGTTTTATGCTTCATTTCCCACCAATAACAATGTGCTTCAATGCATACAGCTGCTATTAGTAAACATACATACACACATGCACTGGATGTCTGGGCACACATATAAATCAAGTATTACTAACAACAAGTTACAGAGAGTTTTGAACCTTTGCCAAATAGCTATCATTGATTTAACCATGAATAATAAAAAGGAAGCTGTATTTTAGACTAGGACTTTGACAAAGGGTCTTTACTAATTAAAAAATACACAAGCCTGATGATATTAATAATTATAGAAAACACTGGATATGAAGCAAATTAGCCTAATATAATATTTATCTCTCTACATTCAACTACAAGTAAACATACTTCTGCTATATTAACCAATATCCACTCTCTTCCCTTTGAAAGGAATGTGGAAATGTGTGCCTTTAAACTGAGATAATGCCAAGAGGGTTTGCTTCCATTTCTTATTGTGAACCACGTGTCTCAGTGGAAGAAGTTTCAGTATTTCTATATGATTTGGCTCATACATACTGTAAATTTCAGTCAGACTTTTTCATGACTTGTATCTGAACAACTAAAATGAGGAAAAGGGAGATGAGATAATGGGGCGAAAGCAAATTCCTTAATGCCCCTTGCAATCTGCTCTTTCCTGCCATTAGCTTCAAGGTACCATGGGATCCAAAGTGATGCCTGCTCTCCACACTCACAGAACAACATGAGATTGGCACCACTTTTAGCACTGGGCTTTGGGCAGGCAGAAGGCACTGATCTGAGTCAGATGTCTGGGCTTGCATTTGAGATCTATACTTACTACAATGCAACCTGGGGCCAAGTGACTCAAAGTACTTAGCCTCCGAGTACCCACTGTATAATGTAAGGAGGAGGAGGATGACGATAGTGATTACATTGATGTCCAAGAGCTTTGTGAAGATTAAATGAGATAATATACTCATAGCACTCTGCACAATGCTCCGTGTACGAAATGGATCCAATAGATACCATTAATGTGGTTATTATTCCTGCTTGCCTAGAAACAAACATGTAACATAATTACTTGAGTACACGTTTCAATGACTCTCTTCCCCCACAAATCCCTGAATCATGCATTCTAAAATCAGTACCACTGAGTAAGGGTCTTCTAATCAGTGAACCCAGAAACACAGACTTCAGACTGTGGCCTTTTTTATAAAGTTGTAAGGTAACTGTCCATGGTGCTGGCCCACAAATGCGCTAAAAAGTAAGCAATGGCATGCCTGCTGAATAATTATTGCAAGAAACCAGCTGAATGTCAGCTACACCATAATGAATATTATTCCAGGCAGAGGAAAAAAAATCTCAACCAATGAACTGGAAAGCACTGGCCATTCCTACTTCCTACACGAGTTGAATGAATTCATTGGGAAAGTATTTTTGCTTGTTAAAATCAATATTCAGTTTGGCTAAAAAAAATGAAATTCTGTGGGGTCAGTCTGAGGCTATGTTATGGCTACAACAGTGGTTGGGCAAAGTTTGTACTTGCAACAGAACTTGCATACTGAAGATCCTTAAGCTGAAAGCAGATTGTAGATTTGTTTGGTTTGACCTAAAAATGTTAAAAGAATTTCTGAGTCCTGACTTCCAACTAATCAGTTTTCATGTAAAACCAAAATTTCTAGCCCTTGTCATAGAACTTGAGGACTGGTAACACAGGGCTTTTGTGCACATGTGGCAACACCAGCCAAGGCTGAGCAGAGATGACCACTGTGGCTGGGGCACAGACAAAAAAGTAGACCTGGGTACCAGCTGGCCTGGTTCACCTATTTCCTGCCTTCTCCCTCACTGCATTTAATGCAGCCCTTCTATTACAAGTATTGGATTCAATATTGCTCTTGGATCCTAGCATCCATCTAGAACTGTGAGTAAACAAAAGTTCTTGTGAGAAAAAAATAGTCCTTCTTGAAGGCCCCCAAAGCCCAACTCTGTGCAAAGGTGGCTGGATCCTCCTCTGGAGAGCCTGCCCCTAAATTTCAAAACAGAATGCTAAGCCCACCTCCTTTAGACTAGCGTCTTTCCTCAGTTAACAACCAAAATGCACTGCAGAAAAGTAGAAAGTGCAATCAATGACTTGACTGGAAACCTTTAGGTCCAAATGATGGTATACACAATAGGCATGTTCACACAAACTTTGGTGAGTCTGGCTAAGTTAGCCCTGTTGTAAAAGTGGAAAACCAGACACAATGCGACCATGTTTGCTTCTCTGGAACAGCCTTTGCTAGATATTTCAAGTCTTCATCTTTCATAGAAAGCTGGCATTTAAAACTTCCACTTGAAGAATAGTCCCAAGCAAGCCAAAGACACCGCTTGTTATTACCTTGTGCCTGTAACAGAAGATTCTGAGAAATAAGTTCACTCTAGAATTTTCTGCCAGGAAAATGTTTCACTTTATATATATATATATATATATACACACACACACACACACACACTTGCTTTATCAAGTAACAAAAATTACATAATCTAACAGGGACTTGCCTTGCTGCCAAGAAACTCGGAGCTAAAAGGCATGCTCATTGTATGCATCTAGTAATAAATGCATCCTACTGACTTCAATATTCATCACTCTGCTTTCATTTGCTGCTGACGCCCTGCTATGTACCAAGTTCAGTTTCATTTTCTTAAAGTCTGTTGAAGAGGGATACATTTTAGAGCAGACACATACACACACACATACTTGCACAGTAGCAGACACTACTAGATGCCCCACAGAGTTGTCTTTTAAAGCAACCTAAAGAAGAAAAACTGGGGCTGGCATTGTGGCATAGCAGGTAAAGCTGCCACCCACAGTCCAGGGCATCCAATATGGGTGCTGTTTTAAGTCCCAGTTGCTCCACTTCTGATCCAGCTCTCTGCTATGGCCTGAGAAAGCAGTAGAAGATGGCCCAAGTCCATGGGCCCCTGCACCTGCATGGGAAACCTGGAAGAAGCTCCTGGCTCCTGGCTTCAGATCAGCACAGCTCTGGCCATTGTGACCATCTGGGGAGTGAACCAGTGGAGGGAAGACCTCTCTCTCTCTCTCCCTCTCTCTCTCCCTCTCTCTGCCTCTGCCTCTGCCTCTCTGTAACTCTGCCTTTCAAATAAATAAATAAATCTTGGAAAAAAACAACAACATGGAACACTGACTGAACCTGATAGGTCGGTTGTCTTTTAGGAAAGCAAGTACCACTCTTGCCAGTGCAGATATCTCTCTAGTTGAAATGGTTTGGTACATTTGGTGAGTTCATCACCATCTCAGCCTGAAAGGTGCTTTAGTCTGCGCAGTAATGGAAATGTTGCCATTGTCTTTTGTTCAGACTCTGAACTTTTAAGATCTGTGCAGGTACCACCTGAACTGTAACTTCGACTGGCATTAGAGATGCAGCTCTACGGGATCACAGAGAAGCTGTGAGTGCTCTGTGCTGGGGCAGTCCCTGGGGCATGGCCCTCACATGCTAGACTCTAAAGGACATTTCCCAAAAGTTCAGCTTTCAAAATAAAATGAGATCGAGGATTCTAAGATGGCAGAATAGGGAGGGAGCTTACTGCTCTACTTTAGGGAAAAATATTTTTTTAGAAAAATTGAGAGTGCAATCTCAGGGAAGAGTAGGGAGAAAACTGCAGAGGAAACTCCATGCAAATTAGAGGGACACTGTGGATCTACGTGAAGGGTGTGGATGCACACAACTCAGGACACCAGCAGCCGAGAGCCTCAGCACCAGCTTTGGAGAGTGAGGTGAGACCAGATTGCAGCAGCCCAAGCCACTGGCAATAAAGCTGCAGGAAGAGCATGGTTTGAGTCCAGCCTGTGCAGGACAGTAACTGCAAACCAAGATGAAGAAAAAAGGGGCACTTTCTCTCTGCCTGATCACCCAGCATTGGGGTCTTGTAACAAGCTGAGGGAGGGCAAGCGCCATTTTGGACATCTGTAACAGCTATACCAGCTTGTGTTCATGCGTCAAGCAACCAGATGAGAGGAGATGCCCGAGTCTGGCTGGGAGAATTGACAGGTGGCTAGGTGCTCATGACTGAGGGAATTATGCATGATGGGACTGTGAACACACTATGGCTGCATGGGAGGGCACAGGGTGTGGCTGGGTCTTTGGGCAGTCACTGAGGGTGGCTCCACATGCTCAGAGCTCCCTGATTCCATGTTGAAGGTCACTGTTGTGGGATCCATGCTTACACAGAGGACTGCATGGATCCTTTGTGTGGTTCTTGGGGCAGCATGGATGAAAATTTTAACCACTGTGGCTAGTGCTCAGGAATTGGTCTCCTTGGAGTACAAGGGGTGAGCATGAGACTATGCCAACAGAGCTGATCAAACCTCCCCCCGATTTAAAAAAAAAGAGAGAAAGACAGACATTTAACATGTCCAACTTAGCTGTCACCTTGGATACTTCCCTCACCATGGAGCACTGAACAGAACTCCCTGGCCACACCCAGCACATGCCTCTGGGTATTCACTGAAAGAGCAGACACTCCACTAAGCCATTAAGGCATAGTCCAAAAATAAAAGCCATCACAAGAAAAAAACAAAAAACAAAAAACAAAAGTGTCTCCACAAATACCTAAAAATAAATATAGCAATTCAAGGAACAGGAATACGAAGACAACAT